AGCTGTAACAGTTGACGGTTTTAGGGTTTTGGGGTTTAGGTTTTAGGGGTTTAGAGTTTAGGGTTTAGGGCCTAAACCCCAAGCTGAAGCTTCAGTTTTCTTATTGGTGTTTGTAGGGCTTCTCTGGGGGCTTCTCCAATGGGCCCCTATAAGAGTTGCTTTACGGGTTCTTGCTTTCAGGGTTCCTTTAAGACTACGGCTCTTCGGGGTCACTTTTGTGCGTGGCTCGTTGTAGAGGGATTCTAAACTTGTTGCTTCCGCCCCTACTACTACTACTACTACTACTACTACTACTACTACTGGGCCCATGAATCCGAAGAAAACACTTCTTGGAATGAGCAAGGTTGGGATTCTTGGCATGGGTGTGGTCGTTGGAAGAGCTCTGGCCAGCCTTGGAAGACTGACATGGACAAATACAATCACCTGGAAGAGCAAGAAGACAAAAAAGCCCAGGCCTACTGGGGCAGCAATCGCTGGCAGCGAGACTATGTGGTCTATGAGGACCAAAGGGCTTTCGCTTTCAAGAAGAGCAAGGGCAAGAAAAGGAAATTCTGGCTGGCTTCGCAGATTGAGACGCTCAAGAAGCAGGGGAGATGGGTGGGAGGAGCGGCTTGACTTCGCAGCCTGGAGGAGGAAACTTGCCCAGGATTGGGCGGAGCACCAAGATTCGCAGAGTGATGCCAGGGATTGGTGGAAAGACCCGGAAGGGCGCTGGTGGAAGAAATGGTCGCCTTCGGACCTTGTGCCCTCGCACGCAAAGCGAGAGACTTGGAAGGGCCAGAAGTGGTGGTGCTACCCAGACGCTCGAAAATCCTTTAATTAAGGAATATAATTACCTTAAGTCAGATTAGGGATCCTATCATAATTGAAGGTACAGTCCTGAATGAAGGGATCTTGGAAGGTCTGAGTAGGTCCCCCCAAAAGCCGTAAAATGTCTTGATATTCAGCACTTCGGGCTTTTTGGTGTCTGCAAAATCCTGGTTTCGTGCAAAAGCCTGTTTCTACCTTGAGCCCTCAAATAGTGAAGCAGACATCCCGCGCCGTTGAACCCTAAGCCCTAAATCCTATGGTAGAAGCCAGAAAGTTAGGACATCCATATTCTTATACCCTTAATCCAAAATATTTGGAACCCCAGCACGAATCATCCTATCTCCATGTTCCAAGCTTCTTGGGTTCACTATAAGCCCCTTAACCTTAAGACCCTGAACCCTAAATCCTAAACCCTAAATCCTAAACCCTCAACCCGTAAACCCTAAATCCTAAGCCCTAAACCCTAAATCCTAAACCTTATAAACCCTAAACCCTAAACACTAAACCCTAATCCTAAACCCTATAAATCCTAAACCTTGAACCCTAAACCCTAATCCTAAACCTTAAATCCTAAACCCTCAACCCTAAACCCTTAACCCTAAAGTCTAAAGTCTAAACCCTAAACCCTAAACCCTAAACCCTAAACCCTCCAGCAAGAGGAACCCCGAGTCCCAAACTATGAAGTTGCCGCCTCTTTGCGCCAAGGAGGCAGCGCGACACGCCCGGGCATCCTGT